GGGGTATTTTTCCCCCTGCTCTCAGTAAAGAAAGCAACATCAAAGAAGAGATGGTTTTGAAAGGAGAATGACTTGTACTCTTTCTATTCTAGGTAGGTGTTTCTTAAATTCTCCGTGTTGCCCCAGCCCGGAGGTGAATTTGAAGCGCTCCTCGGCGGAGCTTGAACACGGGTTTTCGTTACTATTATGAGTGGCCTGGCGCAGCACGGAATTAGCGTCTCACCTCGTCCCCCACTCAGCTACCTGTTTATTAGCTCTTTCCTCCGGACCCCCGTGACCCACCTCCAAGACACCTCGTAAAAACATACCCAGACATCAGAGGAACATGGATCTGACAAGTTTTCCGCGGTCGATCCGCTCTGCTCTCGTCAATAAAATCAAGATAAAAAATAAGTGAAAAATAATTATGCCTACCCGAACCATCAGACCATCCCATACATTCCAGCGGGTGATTGCAAAGTAGCGCCCCACACTATCGGAATCTCCAAAATATAGGTTATTGTGCGCGTTAATAGCGTTACGACGTCTCGTGTTTTCTTTAGGCAAACGGGCACCAATGCCCCGAGTGGGTCCTGTGATCGATAATTTATCCAATTTTTTGGTTGGAGCGTGCATTGCTGAGCGTTCATCTAAACTCTGATGGCACACGGATGTGATCGCAAACACCGTCCCGAGCAAAATAAAGAAATAGGCCCAACACAAACAATGATTTATATTTCACATTTCGGACACGCTGGGCGATTTGTGTTTTTAACCCGATCTTGCAGTTTGACCGGCTGTGAATTTTTCCCTGTCACCAGCAGCATCACTTATCAAAGCCACACTTACCAGAAAGAGTCTCTATAGCCTTTATGGCCGAGTTCTGGTCGGGGAAGTCCACAAAAGCATAGCCGGATTTCAGTAGGACCTGGTCGGCCACTGGCAGCTTCCTCTCCCCAAAGAGCTGCTTCAAGTCCTCGACAGTGACCGAAGGACTTAAATTCCCAACATATAGTTTGTTCATGATCTGGAAGGAACAAAATCTCGAAAGTGTATCCGATCTTAGGAGTGAAAGAGAGGCGATTTTCAAATAATTGGGGAAAAAATAAAATAAAATTAATGAAAGAGAAAATAGAAGAAAAAAACGCAGCAATTACCCCCCAGGAAATTACTAAACTATAGGCGACCCCCCAGCACCAACTCTGGCCCTGGTCTAACTCTTTTAACAGGGACTGGGGGAAAAAGTGTCGTTACGACGCTTCTCTGGAGCCAACAAGCACCGCCTCTAAATAAAATCTCCCTTAAAATCACAAGAAAAAAAATGTTTGGAGGTGCATGGGATCACTCCTGGTTCTCCGCGTAGAAAGTGCATTAGGGTATGAAAGTGGCATGATGATCACTGGGAACATTCAGCAAAGGGATGGGCTTAAAGGAGGCAGAGGGGTTATTTCATCAAATTATAATAAGGGCCGTGCCTTAGGTCCCTCCAGGCTGGTGGAGTGAAAAAAAGGGCTACTGTGTGGAAAATCAAGTCGTTGTCACTGTACTTGTCGACCCAAACAGTGTCACTGATCCCTACAGTTTGCCATTCATTTATTTATGAGCAACACAAACATATGGATTTGTGGAACCGGTGTAAGCAGGGGGTCCAAAACGTCGCCGTGGAGGAGACATTACCCTGTAATGAAAAAAAAACACCTGAGATAACATTCATGATCTCGTAGTATTAGACTGTAATTATAAAACTATACAAAGAAAATAAAGTCTGTTTAAAACAATACAGAAAGTGAAACCTAAAACAGCCTTTCTTGTACATTCTGTCCTCACGCAGAGATAGAAGTGAAATAAACTGTTCCACTTTATTTTTTTGCCGTGCATCTTCATCAGGGGCCACTGTTTAAGACCTGCAGGTTGTGGCCCATTAACTTTACACAATGCTATTAAAGGTGGCGACACTTTCAGTTTTGTGTTTCAACCTGTGGACAGTGCCAATAGATCCAACTGCAACATGACAAACCTGAGCAAATATTTATTTTTAGATGCTGATAAGGGGAGGCGAGGGGATTCCTGGCCCTCACTAATATTTGTGTATCTGTATATAATGAGGGGAGGCGCCATCTATGCGGTGTCACTCAGCCATTCTGAGCTCATGATCCAGGCTGCAGACATGTATGCATCTTTTTCTTTTTTTTGCGATGTAGGTGTGTTGTGCGTGTGGGTGTGTTTGGGAGGGAAGCAAAGCTAAGGTGGATTTCAAAACAAAAGCAGAGATGTAAGGGAAGGACCTGTGCTGCATGGCGAAACGGGTGTGGGGGTGGAGGGGGCGTGCTGCAGTGCTCATGATGTGTATTCTTGTACCTACACACTAGTTACTAAGGGGAGGAGCCTTTGCTTACTTGAGTGTTTCTACATGTGACTGGCCTAGCGCCTTGGAACATTACTGCCACCCTACTGTAGTGGAGACTGTGCCAGACACAGTGACCATTCCTCTCCTTGTTTACGTCAGTGTGTGAACAGAGGAATGTCCAAGCTGTGGCCTATTTACAAAACATTCCCTTTAGTTACTTTCCTGATGACATGCTAACACAGTTTTTGCCTTGCCGCCTTGCTGCTGCCAGCGGAGACTCATTCTGAGAATCACCCATTCATTTCACCACCCCTTTAAGGCACTAAATTTACTATTAGCTACTATATTTATTTAACAACTCTTGACATTGAAGACATGGTTTATAAATGAAACGCTATGCAATCACTTTAACCTGCTTGCCTTTGCTTTAACATTTAAATAGCATTTGTCCTTTTCTAATAAACACAAAGTAGATAAAAATGTCACCACATACTAAACCACAAGATTTGTTTACATCCTTTCCTGTTAAACATGTTATGCCCTATGAAGTCAGTGTGCTGACAAATCAGACAATTACACTAAATGAATTCCACTCATGAGACAAAAATGAAATGGAACTGAAAGGGATGTGCACATTTGGAAGACACTGAGCGACCTGCCGGCCGAAACAAGCTACATACATGTAGACTTGTGGTGGAGGAAGGAAATACATAGGCTTATGCAGTTTCCAAGGTGTGGTCAGCTGTGTGACTAGTGTCTTGTTCATTGGTCTTCCTGCCTTCCTCTCTGTATGAACACTTTGAAAAACTCTGGAGTACCTGATTTATTTTATTACCAAGTATTTCAAGTACTTGCTTTTTAGGAGTAGCATTCGAAATAAAATAAAATTGACCATTTACATCCTCCTTAGAAGTTTCTGGTTGTACTGTGGGATAAAAATTTTACACCTTAATATCTACAACACTCCATTCTTCTGTTACACTGTGCAAATAAACCCAAGTGTGAATTACTATTTACTTAGGTATTGTACACAAGTACAGTTTTAAGGAACTGGCAGTTTAAATTGTTTCCTTTTTTTGTTACATTAGTTTTGCTGTATTTCAGAGGGAAAGTTACAATCAACATTTCTGCTAAAAGGGTATAAATAACAATAGATATAGTGAATAGTTTATGTGAATAGACCATTTCTATTAGTGCATTAATATCACAGGAAGAAAATAATTGTTAAGTGCTAATTCTATTATAGCAATTCACTCAAATTCCCCCCAAAATAAGAAAACACGTTCAATCCTGTGAGCACCACAGAGGTAATCCAAATTTTTTTTCTATCCTTTCTATTGGGGGGAATCTCAGAATGGATATTTCAAATACTTGACAAATAAAACTAAAATGCCTTGGCTTGATCCCATTCGACAAAAGTGAGAAATTGTGTTTTTTAATAATCTGAGTGAACTGACCTTTTAAGTAAAGAAGCAGACTTTTTTTATGGCTTTTTTTTCTTTCTTCAGGATTTATAATGTTTTTCCCACCAACCCTGGAAAAACTACAATAAACCAAGACAAGTCATACAGTGTTTTGAACTGTGCTGTCTGTCATGGATGCTGGAGCAGTTTGGACTCCTTTGTGACCAGTAGGGGTAGATGTTGGACCTCGGTCCCTCACAGCCAGATGCTGCTTGGCAGGTATTGCTTCACCTTATGGTGAGTGTGGTAGTTCCCCTCCGGCAGGAGGCTGCAGTCCATCAGTACCAAAACCTCACGCCACATTAACAGCTTCTTCCCATCTGCACCTGCTCTCATCAGCAGGGCCCAGGACCCCCTCAAAACTTCCCCCCTTTTACGATACACTGTTAATGTTTGCACAAACATATCTTGATTTTTTATGCACATATAAATAATTAACTGCCATATCGGCTTTATTCTTCTTCTATAACTTGTATATTTTGTCAATTTCATATTTTTAAATTTATATGTTTGTCTATTGTTACGAAACTAGTCACCAAAAACAAATTCCTTTTGTTTTGTTTCCTTAGCTGTTTCTGATTTCTGAGTTTAAACAGTGTACTTGATGGAAAAAAAAAAGTATATATGCTCAGTTTAAACTTGTGCCTACCTACCTGATAAGTAGCAGCATTTAAATGACAGATTTATAGTTTCAACTCAGGAAATATTAGCCTCATAATCAGACCAACTTGCCAATTTGTTTCACATCACTATTATTCTATTATTGCTGAATCTGAGATGTGGGCAAAGATTTAAAGGTCTGAAACCAGGCTAAGAGAATAAGATGGCATTGCATTTAGCCCTACCCATTCAAGTACAGTCACACCAATTTAAAGAAACCGCTAAAACAAAGATCATATTAAAACACAATTTTATTTAATGTATTTGACTATTTCTAGGTATTCTAAGTATGAATTTACAAGAACTTAACTGGTAAACTTTATACATTTGATCTGGTTTTATAGTTTATAATCAGACATTTCTTGATTTGACAGTTTATTAGTCGCTCTCCAGTTTTTATTGTTAAAGCTGAGAGAATTAAAATTCTTTATAAAATAGCACATAGCAATACGATAAAATGAAGGCTTTAATACATCCTTCTCTGTATCATAGCCTTGCAACAGCAAATAGTTAAAGTAGTAATGTAGAAGTGCTGCAAGAAAGAACATGAGTCAAAGTGAAAAAAAGCATCTTCCTTTTAATCTGTTCAAGACTTTTTTCTCTCAAGTTGTATACAAAAACCCCATCAAAACATTAATATAATATTTAGGACAGATGTTTCCTATACATTTAAATAAAAAAAATGAGGGGACAGCTTAAGTCATGTCACATGACACTGCTTCACAACTGATCTCAGTACACATGTAATGGTCATGTACATTAGCAAACAGAAGACGATCACTTTAAGAAAGAAGATCTATTCTGAAATTTATTCCGAAATCAATCAAACCACTCAGAAACACTTCCTGGCTGTGCTTGGAAAGGAGGAGGAGGAGCAACGTTCAATAGCGACCTGTGAAACGAAGCAGAGTCATAAGACGAACCCAACACATTGCAACCTGTTGAATCCTTCATTAAAAACGGTTTGTGAAAAGGACTCACGGGGAGAATAAGACCGTGATCTGGACCGAGACCTGTAAGCCCCTCTGTAGTACGGTGACGGAGATCGCCTTCTGAAACAAGACAAAATGATTAGTTCTCTTTGTGCCATTTTTGGCTGAACAGGACAAACTGAACAGGAAACTAAAACACCACGAGTTGAGAGTCAATTTCCCATTGATAATCTGCAGGATTACTGCTGAACAATAGTCACCTGTATGATCTGTAGTAGTCCCTGTCATCATAGCGATCATAGCCGCCTCTGTCGTATCCGCGGTCATACACACGGTCATAGTCACGCGAAGAGCGCCGAGGACCGCTTGGGCCACCTCCACCACTACACAGAAGAAAGTACAAAGATGAGATTGCGTTTGGATTTCCTTCTTAACAATTGGATTTGCAGTTATGTTTTATGTTGTTTGTAACAATTCCATTTCAATTTTAGGTGCACATTATATCACATACTATGCTGAGGTTACTTTAATGATCGTTTAAGCTCTAAACAGGAACAAACAACATGCCTTCCACTCAACTAGGGCTGAAACGATTCAGCGATTAAATCGATTAATAAAATGCATCGACACAAATACTTTGCATCAATGCTTTGTTTAATCTATATAACTATAAAGCACAGTGTTTTGCGCGGACATTTATAACTGTCGCACATTGCGCTTACGCTATGTGAACAGGATGTGATTGTGATGCAACAGCAAATAGTGATGTGTGCACAACGGTAACTGATTCGAAAGCAGCTGGTGTTCCGCTAGCATTTAACTGAAATCATGATTGATTGTTGAGTTGAAGACTAGCCAAAGTAAGCTGCAGTCCTCAGATGAAAATGTATATACGTGCGTTTGTTGTTTTCCTTTTTGGGCCATGAGTTGTAACCTCACAGTCATGAGTTAACTGGGTGTCGGGAGCTGCACCTTTTAACTCCCCTCCAGCTCTCTCTGTAGCTCAGACAATCCCTGCTACCTGCGTGTGCTAATCCATCCTTTACCCATATTCTTTTTCTTTATAATTGCTATCGGCAAGCAAAAGTACTTCTTTAATGACGCATCGATGAATCGTTGAACTAATCTATAGAAGCTTCGAATACTAAAATCATTGTTAGCTACAGCCCTATACTCAACCAACTTATAATTTTGTTAGGTGTTCTTAAGAGTATGTTATCTCTGCCCGACTGAGCTCTAAATATCAAACTAAAAACACACACCACTTCAGATCATATCTAATAAATGGAGATAAATTAATTTTACCTAATGAATCCACATGAACATCAGTATGTCAGGTGGCTTACTATGTGGGCCGGCCCATGTAGATTCCAGGGGTTGGGGTGTGAGGTCTCTTTGTGATGGAGAAGTCCACCCTGATCCTACGACCATCCAGCTCCATGCCATTGGCTCGCTCCTTTGCCTGACAGTGAACAAACATATAAATGACCTTTTTAAACCCAGAAAATATTCTAAGAAGAGGGTTGCCATGGGCCTTTGTCAACTCATATTCTTATACCTCTTTGGCATCCTCTTTGTTCTCAAAGTAAACAAAAGAAAAGCCCCTGGAGCGCCTCGACTGCTGGTCATACACAATACAGACATCCGCCAGGGGGCCGTATTTAGAGAAGACTTCCCTCAGATCCCTCTCTGTGGTGTACAAGCTCAGCCCAAACACGCCCAGGCAACAGTTTGGATCTGGATTCGCCTGCAATATTAAAAATATTAAAGGTTCTAATATGATCATATACTTTAATATAAGTAACTATTGAAAGAGTCCTCTATTCTCAAAAGAAAAAAATGAGTTTCTTAATACAGTATTACTAAATTAGTATATAGTGGTGTTTAGGATCTAAGACACATATATTCAGACATTATGCAGGAAGAACACAGGCAAAACTGATTTACTTAAACTTAAAAATTTACTTAAAAATATCTAGTACCCACAAGGGCACTGCGCACTTACGCGGTTGCCGATGTGCCTGCGGCGGTTGGACATGGGTGAGCGGCTATGGCTCCTTCGCCTGCGCTCTCCACTGTAGGACCTACTGTGAGATCGGCGACGATAGGACCTTGAGCGGGACCGAGATCGGCTATAGTGTCTGCGTGAGCCACGGTGAGAATGGGACCTGTATGGGCAGAAACACTTTAACATTCAGATTGGATCTATGGTTATTCACATCCAATTTCACTACAACTGCTATGAAAGACAGACGGGCATATCCAGTCTGTCAACAAGGGAAGAGTTTTTTTTTTGTGACTCACCCAGATTTCGACCTGGACCGAGACCGAGATTTAGAGTGGGAGTGGCAGGAGCCTTCTTTTGAACGGGCAGGCGAGCGAGCCGGGGAGTGGCTTGCCGACTTCCCTGAGCCCCGTGGACTCATGCTCCTGGATGCAGAGTGAGACTCCTGAACGAACCACACACACCAACACATGTCTCATCAGCACCAATGAGAGGACAAACTGAGAAACTTGCCTAAATAATTCTATGTATTCAAGAATTAAGACTATCCTGTTAAAAGTACAGAAGAGAACAGAATTTGAGATTGTGGATTAGAAATGTAGGTTGACACTATTTTTGTAGCCTTGAATCAAATGACATCAATTGATTACTTTAATCAATATAATTAAATTGTCAACATGATGAAAAAACAGAAATGTGTCAGCTGTTTAAAATTGCAATGATTTAAACTAATGTGTGTTGTATTCAATAACAAGAACATGCACGCATTTGACAAACAGACCAGAAAATTACTTAGCACAGTGACCTTATCAAGATTACTTCCTTAACTTCATTTCTGTAACTTCATTACTTCACATTATTCTTCTTTCTTCAATTGTCTTACTTCTTCTTACTTCCCCCATCTCACACACTGCCCACACTTCTTCCCTCCTCATGTTTTAGCATGCATTCAATAATTCAGCTTCACACATCTGAGCTTCATATTATTGAAAATAAAGTGGACATGAGACTTCTTCCGCATTTTCTTCGTCCAATCTTAACCTTTATGAAAAAGAAAAGGATGAAGAATATATGACTACAATTAAAACTGCACCCTCAATCAACTTTTAATGTGTTATTACGATCTTATGACATGCATGGGAATGTTCAAGAACACATAATACAAATCTTTATTGTTAGTTAACTATAAATATTTCACTTTCAGTGGTTCTAAATTCACTGTTCACAGTCCTATCAGCCACTTTGACTTAAGTGTATGAAGCATCTTAGATGCGAACATTAAAAAAGTACTGAAAGGTAAGCATATGAACACACACACATATCATTTTTTTATTTTCGTTGTGTTTTGACACGTTAGGGTGTCAGACAGGAGTCCATCTGCATTGGGAAAACAGAACAAACAATATTGTCCTATACGCGTACACATTCACAAGACGGTAAAGAATAATATGAGCTGCCATTCATTTTATCCTTTCCATTTCTTTTGCAATAAATACACTGTGTTCCTTCTGAAATGGATACTGTTGACATAATTCTGTCAAGTGGCCTCTAAGGCATGAAAGTGTATATCAAACCACTGAATGTGAATAGTACCTACTCAAGATTACATCACATAATTTAAAAAAAATAAATCTTAGTTTAACAAAGCCCAAACAACCTCAAGATGTTGCTTCCACTCATTTGTATTGACCTGCATCACTAGCGTTGATAAAACAGACATGGCACAGAGAAAAACATTTTAAATTAAGTGGCATACACAAACATACTTTATATAGGTCTACTCATGTAGACCATGTTTTGTTCATTTAGCCTACTTGCAGTTTAAAAAAGCCTAAATTAAAAGACATAACAGACAAACAGAGAAATGTTATTAAATCTGAACATTATACTAGTGCTGTGCAAGCCTCCTATGGGGTTTAGCTACTACTCTAGTTCTCTGTTTAGTGAGAAGTACAGACACACTGGTCATACCCTCTGGTTGACTGACAGAGGGTATGAATATAACATGTTTTCTGGCAACCTGCTGCTTGCAGATATAAGGATATGTTAGTTTTGAATTGGCATAAGGTGGAGGGCTGAATATGCGAGTCAATGCAAATGAATAAGAAGAAATCATGAGGTCGTTCGTTTTTGTTTGAAATGGTTTTAAATGTTTAACACATTATATGCCACTTGACAAAATTGCCACGCCCAGAAATTTGAGAAACCGTAATGACATTAACTTAACTTTATATGATTAATGTTAGCAATGTTAACATTCATTCATATTACTCAAACGAAATGTTATCTATTACTGTCTCAAAATACAGTAACTATCATATAACAATTAACTTTACTGATTGTGTTATGGAGAACTAACGTTAACATAATATTGACACAGAAATTATATTCCTTTCGCTGTGTTTTATTAACTGTTGACACAAGATGTTTAACTCGTCTAACTGCTTTTATAACGCTATTTGACAATGTAGCTGTTGTGTTAACCATAAACACCCAAACGCTCATTTACATTAACGTTATCTATAGGCTTGGGTCTGGTTAAACTAACTGGGTTGACTGGCTGGCTGGCTAAAGTTGGGATTCACATAACGTTAGCTGCATCTGTATTGCAATTCCCGTACTTACAGACAGGGCCTGTGGCCTAGCTAGCGTTGACAAGCTAGCAATAGCCAGCTAGCTAACGGCTCTTGGCAGGCGCTAATAACGTAGAGCAACTAAATTAAGCCATATGGCTCATTTTAGTCATCCAATATTAGCACATTCAAATTTAAATGAGCATGTTTATGTTTTATTAAATAACTGAAAATCCAGTAACTGATTTCAACTGGGGAATTGCGCCAGCTAGCTAACGTTAGCTAACCAGTATTAGCCAACACAATTTAAAGACTCGTAACGTTTCACTTTAATACAGACTAATAATGTATACGTTAGCTCCATAAAAACGGTTCCACCAAACCCCTCAAAAGGTTCATACGTACCCGCTCGCCATAACCTTTACCGTTATCGCTCATTTTTAGTGATACTGCGAATTTAGCTTTTTGTACTGCAGATTGCTTTGCCCTGGTGCTAACCAGCTAACTTAGCTACAAGCTAAAGTGCGTGTGTGGGCTGCAGCAGCGACTGAAACTTGAACGTTAACTCCCCAGTCTTTCAGACTTTCGCTGCATTTGGACAATGGGATAGATGCCAATCGGCTCTAATGGAAATAAGACATGGACTTTTACTAAAGTTGCTGAAAGTTTCAGGGTTTTAAGAGTTATTTATAGTTATATTTCCAATATGACTCTGTATATCCTTATAAGGTAGTTGGCAACTGTGAAAATGTAAGGGACAATGGTTATTTTTTGAGATTAATGTACTAAACATTAAGTTCACTAAATCTTTTTCTTTGGAGGATTTACAATCAAGCAAACCAAACTGTCAATACAACAACATGAATGTTTCATAAATGAAAACGGTGCATACTATTAAACATCAGTAAGAGATGTAGTGCTTAGTCAGCCATCATAAAAACAACCAAATTGATAAGTGGTCTTTTTGAAAAGAGGACTGCAAAGGGTGTCCCTAGACACCAATTTTGTCATAGTCACTTATCAAAAAGTATTTCTAGATAAGTTATGCACTTGCTGTTTTATTTAAGGAAAGTGCTGAAGAGTTTAAAATAATCTTAGAAATAATGATCTTTATGATAACAAAACTAAATTCTTACCTTTTAATGCCCACTCTTTCATAATTTTAGTCTTTCACCTGGGAGCCAATAAGACCAGTTTTGGATGATAAAGTTTTTTCACACGTTGTAAGCACTAGGAACACATGCCATTAACACCATACCACAGTGCTAACTGTCTGTTCCTGCGATCTATTCCTCACCTATTTACTGTGTTTCTTTTATTTCCTTTTCCACTGCAGCTTTATTTTGTCAGTGAAGAGCAGAAAATGAAATCCTGTGGATATGGAGAAGGTACCATGTGACAATTTATTTTAGTGTAAGCGCACTCATAGACTGTAGGTGCTACTCACTGGATTGTAAGGTGGCAGATGTACAGGAACACACCTCAAAGACCAGTGGTGCTGTGGTGTTTGATTTGCCCCATTTAAAACCCCTGTCACTTAGTGGGTTTACTGCTAGTTCTTTTTATTTTAGTAAATCCCTAAACTATTTCGCGTGGATACATGTATGTTAAGACATCTGTCATTTTCACACAGATCTGAACAGAAAAAGGATAATCTTGTTAGATTAAAAATCAGCAATACTGTTTGTGTTCCACCTGAAAACATTATCAGAAAGCCCATGGACCTCAATGCAAGACCTCTGCAAGACAAAGCTGTGACAAAAGATGTCTAAACCAGACCAAAAGTCTTACTATTGCATTTTCTTTATTAAAAAATGAGCAGAAGCTGAGAAGGAGGCAGACAATGGAACAAAGTGATTCAGAGCTTGGATGCAGTGATCTAATTGGCAGCGGCAGGTACGCAAAAACTTATCACAGTGCAGATTTTAGTTATATTCGAGAAATGCAGCTTTCAATTCTTACTTGCCAGTTTATTTCACCTTGATGACATCTTTATCACAGATCAGTTGACTGTACTTAGAACTGACTAAACACAATGTAAAAGTACACACTGGAATTTGTGATAATAATTTAAAATATATACAAAAATTAAATTCCTATAAAGTAATGCTGCCCATGTAATCTACTCAAAACCAGAAGTTAGAATAAACAGTTTTCCTAATCTGACATGACCTGGGAGCAGATTTTAACAGAGTATGGCATAATAAAAGGATATAACACTCCAGTTACTCATTGACACCTAGTGGGGAGTAGAGAGAAAATGTAATCAATCATTTTGAATGTGACAGATTTCTGCTAAAGATTTTTTTAGTCAGTAAATGTGTAAGTTTACCTACCACAGTCATACAGGACATTTATTTTATGAAGATCTAGAGCACTGGGTCCATCTCGCTGGCCAATCGGAACGTAAGGATCCGGTCTGGGAATAATTGTAGGTCCACCATTTTCAGAGAAGGCATATCTGGATGTAAGATATATAAAATATATGGTATTGTAACGCCCCAGGAAAACTAAAAATACAATAGTGTTCCCTCAAAGAGCGGCTCACCTTCCATAATGCATGACAGAGTAGTAGTCATATGGACTATTGAGATTGTTTGTCACCTGTTTCCTGAAGTTATGGATTTGGTCTGTCAAAACATAAAAGGTAAAGGACATAAAACTAATTTGGTGAGAATATTACTAAACAGGCGAGGAAAAGGCTTTAAATAACATAATGTTAGGTGGTGATCCTAACCTGGCATGATGTTTTTCCATACAATTGAAACATAGTGGTCTCGGTCTGAGCGAGACTGCTCATGTACAAAGCCGAGGGCGTGCATGAACTCGTGGGCAGCCACTCCCGACCACATGCACCCAGGAGTCTGCAGGGACAGGGTCTGGCTTCCCCCAGTCTGCCCCAGAAACGACCAGCAGCTTGGGGTACAGATCAGAAATGAGGTGTCATCATCGCTAAGCAAAATCACCACACAAGCATCATATACTACAAGACAGGCATTACATGTAAAAAGCCACACAGCCACACTCACCCATATCTTGGCTGAATATCGAGGAAGCTGCCTTCATGAGTGCGAGGAACAAATTTAATACATGTTCCAGAGGATATGTCTTGCATCCCAGTTTCTATGGTGATTCTGTCCATGTCGTCTGCCGTAAAAGAATAAAAATTTAAACTGGAGTTAAACAGAACAATTTAAAGTTCCAATGCCTTTGTGACGCCTCTTTGAATCTTTGGCTTCATACCATATAGTGGAGAGAGCAGGAAGGGTACGTAAACAAATCCGTCAACCGATTTAGGCCACAGGCAGGCATTGCCAGGGCAAGTTATGGCACTCCGTACATATGAGGTGGCAATATCTCCCTCTCTGAATGCCAGTCCGCGGGGGGCTCGCAACACTGATGAGAAAAAAATACTCTAAACTACTATACTAAAATAACTTAAATAGCACAATTTTATGTAAATTACAGCTTACTTACAGCGATTGACTTCCAGGATTTGATCCATTACATTCATTTCATCACGCTCTATAATTTCATCTAAACACAAAACAAAAACAGATTTCCTCTATTTTTCATTATCGCAATAATCATTGAAGTGTAGAGCATTATCTGAATGCATGATGAAGCGCATGTAAAAGTAATTTTAAAAGAGTTAGTAGCCCACCTGAGTATTTCCTCTTCAACCTCACTTTTCCCTCATTTACTCCGGTAGAATTCTGTAATACAAATGGTAGTGTAATTACCTTTTGGCTGCAAAGCATGACAAGACTAAAAGGTAAAGTAAAAGGGGCATTTGCTATAAAATATTGTCTCTTGGTACTGACCTTTACAGGTAGAGCGTACGCCTGGGTCAGCATGCCAAACAAGATACCCAGAAGGATCATGGTAGAAAGCATTGTTATGTTTTTCAGAATGGTGTACCAGTTTCAGTCTGCAGTCTTCAGATGCAAGTGCTAAATCAAGTCCTCACCTCCACTGAATCTATATACCCACTTCTCTTCCAGTGCTCTGTACTGATTGGGCACATGTTCTGTGATGCATGATTAAGACCCCTCATCATCCCGTGTATGCAATTTACTCAAGTCCACTGCTTATCCGTAACAGGTGGTCCTGATGCTGACCTTCACCTGTGCCCCGTACTTACCGCATGTTAGACTCAGCACTTTCAGAAATGAGACACTTAAAGGTGTTTTGCTGTTGGTTGCGCTACTCCTCAGCAGTTGCCATCAGGAGAATAACTCTCCACCCAGTCCAACAGACCAGCAATTTGTGTCTGACTGTACTGGCAACCAATGATTTTGTGATAAACTATCACTTGATAGCTGTCTTGACAACAATCATTTTGTCACAGGGGTAAATATCTAAAAACAAAACCTTCTCATACCCCAAATATTATTTCTAGCTTTATAAAGGGGCCAATTTGAAGGGCAATGAGGAAAGAATCCCATGTGTTAGCAGTTGTGAAATCTTGCCTCAGTGGATACTTGAAAGAACATTAGTGCTGTAACATTTCTGTATCTGAGTTACGGGTGCATGGTTCCAAAGATGAATACATTCATGCCGTGTCATACCACAACCTGGTTCTTCATTAATCGGGGTAAATGGTTTCTTCAGTCTTCCTCTGATTAAAACGTACAACTATTTATCCTTTATTTCTCTCGTTTAACACAGACCCGTGCTTTAATCCCGTGCTTCAAAAACATTATTTTACTGTAGTATTCTATGATATATGTAGGATTACATTTTCTTCACATTCAAGTTATCTCTTAGTGATTCATGAAATTGCTTATGCTGTATATACTAGGTTGATGTGGAAACTTGTATTACTACTTCAAACCAAGCTATCTTGTGTTCCTACTCCTTTTTCTCTTTACAACTTGTTTAAACAAACATGACTGCATTCACACAGAATAAATGCTGATAGAAAGCTTGAATTAATCTTTATTGTAACTGTATCCATGATTTAACATCAGATTATTATATGAGCTTTCAGTACATTCTGGGTTCACCTCAATTCTGTTTGTTTACTAATCATCCTTGCCACCTGCAGGGAGAGACAGAAAGGAAATATTTGACAGTAATATGCCGAGTATTCTTTCCCATTTATATCACACAATATGGTTGTTAGCTCTGAAATATTTACGGATTTTATACTTACATTTATAAAGTCTGTTGATTTTCAGCTGGTCAATGTGGCTGAGACTCGATCCCTGGCCCAGCTTTATGTCCTTGCTGTTACCTATCTTAGGAATGATGGTTGGCTCACCATCCTGAGAGTAGGCATACCTTAACATATACATATTATATGTTACAGTATAATACACAAACCACATTATTATATCTTGAGTGATCTACATGAAATTATCACTTACATGCCAAAGTGCATGATTGAGCCATAGTCGTATGGCAGGTCCAGGTTGTCAGTCTTGAATTTCTCAAAGTTCCTCAACCGATCTGTTGGAAATTGGAAAAATATTTTCTATTTGTGAGCATTCATTTAGATTGTTGTTGGATATCAAGTAAAGCATTTTCCTGATTTGTTCTGAAAATTGGTATCGGAATGCAGCCAATTATAATTTTATATATAAATTACATGTCCTGTAATTTACTGTTTGTGGAGATCTCATTCTCCCATGCTACCCCCCTTTCCTGCCCCTTTGCAATTACCCCTCCAAATGTTTGGCCACATGATAGTGACATATTTGTCCCGGTCAAAGCGGGACTGCTCGTGCACAAAGCCCAGGGCATGCATGAATTCATGGGAAATCACTCCAGTCCGGAGGCAGTCAGGGCTCTGCAGAGACACGGTCTGTCTTCCACCACGCGCACCAAGGTAGGACCAACACCTGGATTAACACACAAACATCTCATTAGAACTTCACAGAGTCCATAGAGAAGGAAATAATTGAAGGAATCCATTTGAAATTTCTAGACAGAAAACTATTTTGCCAAAAGAGAAACATTTTTAAAACAAAGACTACCACATTAACTTTCCAAGCAAAGGCTCTCACCCAGACTTTGGCTGGATATCGATGTAGTCTCGCTGGTGAGTCCGAGGAACAAACCGCACACAGGTACCTTTCTCTATGTTTTCCATCCCTTTCTTTATCATCTTCGTCTCCATTTCAGCTGTTCATTTGTTTAGAGAGAGTGGACAGGGGAAAGACAATTTCAAAATCATCAAATATAAAGTTAGTGAATTGCTAAAAGTATCAGGCTGTAATGTAATGCATATATTTAAATTATAAAATAACGTACAGTACTCAGGCGAGAGTGTATATGCAATATAGACGTGTCCATCCACTGACTTAGACCAGAGGCAGCTACGAGCGAAGCAGACTTTAGAGCGTCTTCCAGACGAAACAGCAATGTCTCCTTCCCTGAGACTGGTAGTGCCGTCTATGATTCGGGAAGCTGAGATAGAAATAAGGGGAAATAAAATTAAAAAACAGGAGGTTTGTCACAGTATGTTGTGTAAACAGAAAAATTACATTGTGTGTATCTTACCTTGGAACTCATTAGTTTTAATGATTTCATCCATTGCTGTCGTACCACCATGCTCTTCACGTTCTTAAAACAAAGAGTTTTTAGTCAGTATGTGTGTTTTTACTGCTGTCACACTCACATCAATTTAAATCAAATCCAAATTGTATTTACCTTCATAGCCAATGGGGCCCCAATTTGGGCTGAACAAAAATTTCTGCAGAAAAGACAGATAAAGTTTGCAATTATATTGCAGTCTGTTGTTGAACTTGTTAAAATTGCAGTCCCATTTACCTGTGCCTGTACGGCTGAGAGACAGGTCGAAACCGCGCACAAGAGGATAATCTGCTCCATCTCTGCCAGTCAGATATGTCTTCACTGTTGCCATTTTACCTACACAAACAGCTAGCTTTATAGGTGTTCCCAATCACTGTCCTCAGGTAATACCCATGATCATCTCAGGTAAATTACAGTGTTAGTTATATGTTTGTGAGTGAGTTTAATGCCCAAATTAGTTTGATTCTTTCATAAACAACAGCCCCAACAGTAGGATAATGTGAGGTCTACACTGTATGTAATAACAGCTCCACTGCAATGACTAGCTTTAAATTAAATGGTTTAATGTTTGGCACAGGTCTGGGGCAATTTTAGGCTTTAGGTGTCACATTTGTCTTACCAGGAGTGCTGTTTTGTTTTAACTGAAGCTAAGCTCACCAACAGTTAACACGCTATGTTTCTATGCTAATTTCACATAATATGTAACTCTTGCAAGGCCCATGCGTTAATACCACATTCTCACCCTCACTGTGTTGCGAAAAGACAAAAAACATTACCGCCCGAACAGGGACTTGAACCCTGGACCCTCAGATTAAAAGTCTGATGCTCTACCGACTGAGCTATCCGGGCTCTGACATAAGTTCCGGAAGTTGTCGTTATAAAGCGACGACAGCATGTCATTCGCACACGGGTTCAACTTCCACCACGGCAGCTCAACAAACCCTGTCATATAATTTCAGTAAAACAAGATATCATGAGCGCATTTTACGGCCAAACATTTGTAACACAACACGACAACTCTACGGTAGGTTGATGTTAACTTGCAACGATAACTGTTACTTAAGCTAGCTAACGTTAGCTAAATGTGCAAGGGTTGATATCGGTGGTTAACTTATTTACGTTAACGTTACAGCTAGAAGTAACGTTAACGCGAAACTTATCAACGAAAATAACAATGTTGGACATGAGTGCAGGAGTGTGAATAGCGTTAAAGTTAAGTTTAATGCCCCCTCTCGTTAACTTGCAGGAGGAAATCAATGGTCTGCAGCATGCCATCCAAGAAAACACTCGTAAACTGGAGGAGGTCCAGCAGAAAAGACTACGTGCTGAGAAAGAGATAATTCAATGGTACCGTCATTATGGCCCTGTATTTTGCATGTGACGTTATTGGTTTCGTCACTTAGTGGTTATCCATGGTGCCTTTTTGTTACTCAGTCATTTATGTGTGAATTACAGTTCAACAATTGAAGTTCATACTAACGACTGTGGTGTTTACTGTGAGTTTTCTTCTTGTATTTGCTGTTATAAGTTAATTTGTTTAATAATTTGTTTGCCTACACACTCTTGGAGGAATGCTCAAAACTCTGCTTAAACATAAATGTTCAGATTCAACAAGTCAAAGGTCAAGATGAGTTCCAATCATAATCATAATCATCCATCCTATCATATCATGCAGTGTTGACTTTATTCTGCATAGATTCGCCTTATGAGTCCTGTTCTCACATGCAGTAACCGAGAACTTGAGAGGAGAGTGGATTTGATGATGGGGAAAAGTGAAGTTGTGGATGTGTTGCAACAACTGGGTCATCTGCTGCAGGAGGAAAGGCACCTTTCTGAACAACTGAATAATCAAGCCTCTGTGGACAGGTAATGTGCTGTGCTATGTGCACACAGAGAAAGAGAGAGAAACCTTGCATAAACCAAACTTTACTGTATATTTGTTATCTTTCAGAAATAAAAGCAAAGATTTGCAGGAGAGGAGTGAGCACATCACAAACAAGGCGAGAAGCCTCGCTGCAGAACTTCTGCAGGTGAAACAGTGTCTGGCAGAAGCCAAGGCTCGTAATATGGCTGGTAAGGGGAGTGTGGGAGGTATCTACATACTGGTAAACTTGTATTTGAAAAACAGTAGATTTGTACTTTGCTATCCTTCTTTGCCAACAGCACAAGCTTTGATCCATGCACCGACCAGCAAATCAAAGAGAAATCAAAGAAAGTGAATCAAAAATTGAAAGTTTGTTTTGTACATTACAGGCACCATTGTTTTTATTTTTAATTGCATTTGAGATGTATAATTTATAGTGTTTATATTTTGTTGCACCTAATAAAATGTTTGACTTGAACTTGTCCCAGAATTACTTGTATTTACTATAATAGCCCAGCATGATATCTCTCTAAATATGCTCTGATTTGGGATGTAAGGTACTAAGTAAATTTACTCAAATACTGTGATTACACACAATTTACATATTATTATTATTAGGTTAGTTAAAAGATAAAATGTGAGTGGTGGTACTCCGCTGTTACAATGGCTGTCAACAACAATGCATTAAACTATATTTTCTATATTATTTACCACTAAATTAAATCAAAGCTGGAAATGGAAAAAGGCAGCAAATGTCGATTTCAGTGAGGATTGCCCCCCCCCCCCCCCCCTTTGCAGCTTAAAGTACATTTTAGCTAATTTCTTTGGGTCAACAGATGAAAGGAGCAGGAATATGAAAGATTATATGAGTTACTGTTAAAACCATATATATATATTATATTATTTAAATAAACTATTATAAAAGGCAAATGGGAAGGTATAGAAAAATATATATAACTTGTTACGTCTCATTGAAGTTACACATATACATTATTTTAGATAGTATAAGTAACAGTTTGAAGCTCCATACCAGACATGAATCAAACCTGTCAGTACATGTAAGTGTAATCACAAAAAGTCAGTAAAACTCGTTAAACGCGAGGTTGATGTACATTAAACGCTGTAGGAAACGTGGGCTAGTTTGCAACCTTTTGTTCGTGAACGTCTTCTAATTTATGCTTTTTCTTTTTTGACGCTCTCGGGCATCCGTAGACATTTCAGGAAGAAACACAAAGTAGCAACGTTAGCGCAACTTTATCATGAGACATCTTTTTATGGTAAGTTTTTGTTGCTAATTTTCAGTTAGTACACTGTGATTTAAAATAACTGCAATATTCTTAGCTATTAGAAAAGGTATATAGCACCCCCTTTTAAAGAAGATAATGATACCACTAGTCACTATTACACGTGTCGTTCAAAGAGCACATTTATGGTTACATCAGCTAATATAACGTTAACTTTTAGAAAATAGGACAAATAATAGTTTGTGCGTTGTAGCCAGCTCATGACAGCAGTGTTGTTAATTACTGTGAATATGTTTGAACGAAACATATCATTTCGGATAACTCAAAACAAAACGAACAGTAGGTTTATCTGTTTCTGACATGTTAGCAGGTCATGAAGTAAAACCAAAAGCCCAACCATTACAATGACGACTTGTGCCGGCCACCGCTCCGTCTTTGATTTGTGCCCAAATGATGAGGCTTTGATTGGACTGAGAGAAGTGAACCCGAAGCAGGCTGGAACCCCTCACCAAGCCTCGGACGGTATGTATGAAGAGTTAGCTGTAGTTTCTGTGATAAAGACCCTTTGAAACATACCCTTCTTGTATTGCTTTACACATAGAGTTGAATGATAAATCCCCAGAGGATGACAGACAGCAGGAGTCCAGCCTGGTTAGAGAGGTGTCAGAGAAGATGGTCTGCTCAGCCTGCAGATGCCCCTTTAATACTCGTGAGGAACAGGTGACCACACAACTTATTTAAAACGCTGCTCTGTTCATTTAAAAAAAACAACAATTGTATTTATGTGTTGACACCTGAAAATGAGCGTGGGTCGTTTTTTGAGTAAAACATGATTTTGTCTATAAATTTCAGATGGAGCACTACAAGCTCGACTGGCATCGGTTCAATCTAAGACAAAAGATTTCAGGGATGCCACCAGTCACAGCTGAGGAGTTTGAGAGGAAGACCGGAGCTGGTGAGGAAATCAGAGGTCCTACACATCTGTCGAGGACTTTAACAGGAAACCAGCGATGGGCTCTTGAAGTCTTTGTAACAGTTGATTGATTTTCAGTTATTGGTTTGCAGGAGACATGTCAAGCATCTCAGGCTCAGAGTCTGATTCAGAGGAGGAAGACTCGGATAGTGACGGCGGGGGGACAAGCAGCAATGTCACCGGCACAGATAACGAGAGCTCAGATCAAACCAGTTCAATTATCGGCCGGCTGTCGACCAAGGTTGTTTTCCAGAACTCAGCAGGACAGTATCTATCGGTCTACCGCAGCATTCTGCAGGGAAAGGTGAGGATAAGCAGGTACAATACTGAAGGATTTGGTTGTGATCAGACCTTTTGAAATATGTTTTTTTTTAATTACTAATTAAATTTTTCTGTTCCTGTAATATCTCAGTCAGATGATGAGCAAGACACCGTATCCTCCCTGAAGTGCATAAGTAAGAAGACTGTGTGGGTCATTCTCATGACAGGTGGAGGCCACTTTGCTGGTGCTGTCTTCCAAGGGTAAGTTGACAGTTTTTTGCATGTTTGTTTTCAGCAGCTTAGATTACACATTATGGCTAGGATTGTAAGTGCAAAACGTCAGCCAGGTCAGTAGTGTGTAAGCATCTGCACAACATTTTCCAGAAAAGAGGTCATTCAGCACAAGACCTTCCACCGATACACAGTGCGAGCGAAGCGAGGCACTGCTCAAGGACTCCGAGACTCTCAGAACCGCAGTCACATGCCCAAGTCTGCAGGAGCTGCTCTGAGGCGATACAATGAGGCAGCACTAGTCAAGGCAAGCTTCTGGTGCATTTAACAGCACTGTCATTTCCTTTACAATGATAGCCATGATGTTTTCTTTCCAGAGGACAAACAAATTAAGCTACTCCTGAAGGCTGATATTCTGTTGCATGGCTAATGATGATCCATGTGACCCTGATGATGCTTTCTGCTGAATTCCATTTAATTTTTCTCTGATACCAGTAAAAGTTTCTGTTAGGCTACCCAGCCTCCTCTAAGGGTGGCTCATTTTTTTTTACTTTTGTTAGAGATTGCCACTTCATCTGCAGAGCCTAGGGGCTGCTTATTCACAAAAACAGTTGGTCTCTGTGTAAGGGTTGCTTATTCCAAAAGGCAATTTTAAATGAGCATTTGCTTGTTGTCAGAATACAACTCCCAAAAATGGACTCAAGCGATTTTCTTGTAAAACACATACTCCTTGTTTTTTGTTCTTGATAAGATTTAATTACATGTTTAAGTTTTTTCTATTAATCCAATTCTAAAAGGTGGACAGTTCAATCATGCGAAATGTGAGTTCATTCGCTGTAGACCATTCTTCTGAGTTGCTGTTTTTTTTTTTATGCAACCTCTTGTGTAACCTCTTGCAGGACATTCAGGATCTTCTTGCAAGCTGGGCTGAACACTTGAAGCAGGCCTCTGCAATATTTGTACGAGCCTCTAGATACAACAAAACTATCTTCTTTGGTGGCCGTGCACCTCTGCTTGACAAAAAAGATCCCAGGTTCCATACACTTCCCTTTGCCACACGCAGGGCAACCTTTCGAGAGGTACAGAAGGTACATGAGGTGCTTTCCACCATCCATGTTTATGGTGAGCTGAATTATATCCTTGGAATAATTACATGTTCTCTGCTCAATTTCGTACAGCCAGGGTATAATCAATACTGGGTGAAACATATCTTAATGCAGGGAAAGACACAGACATGTCTGCAGTCTTCAGTCCATTAAAGAAGACCTGGAAAAAAACTGCCAAAACCACAGCACAAATAAATACAGATCAAGAGAAAGGTATGTTTAAGAGATTAACATGTACCCTCTGGGTTAACACTCTATTGAACTGTGGATAACAACATATCATGACAAAATTAAGCTTGCTTTTTGTTTAATTTAATTATTGCTGTTTCAACACAAAGTTATTTACTTTAAAATTTGGTATTACAGTACACTTCCTTTTTTGGCAGCAGAAGAAAACCACGATAGCTCAGACAAAGAAGAAGGTGGGGAGATTCAGCTGGAGATGGTGGAGATGACAATAGGAACTCTGGACCTCAGGGAGTCTGAAATATTTCCCTCCATGCACAGAAGGAGGAGGAGGAGAAATGAGGAAACCAAAATGCAAAATGAAAATAGGCCCCGTCCACTGTGTCATCACATAGGTGGCTATAGCTACATTACAGAAACTCAGTGAATGCTCATTTATCACACCAAAGTTCTGCAAGGTTCATGAAATTTCATATCCTTGTGTGACAGAATTGAGTAACACAGAAGCAGACAATCAGGAAGAGGAGGTGCCAGAGGCTACAGTAGCAGGAGACGCCCCTCAAGAGACGCAATCAAAGAACAAGAGGAAGAGGAAAGCACAGAGTAAGAAACAACTGGAAGGTGAGTGAGCGCCTCTTACTGCTGTACATTTATATTGCAGATGATTCTCAATCTTGCAACTTGTCACCTATTTAATATATAAAGTTCAAGATACTTATTATTTAGCTTTCTCTGTCCATAGAAATTGTTGATGAATCATGGGAGTATGCCCAGAGGGACGCCCTGTTTACAGCCTGTAAGGTTGGGGATGTGGACGCTCTATGCAGACTCCTCCAGCTACCTGGAGAAACAGCAGAGAGTCGTGAGCGGTCGGAGAGCAACCCTTCTGATGTCTTAAGTCCTCTAACTCTCCTTAATAAGCCCATAGACTCATCAGGGTTCACTTTGCTGCATGTTGCCTCAGCAGCTGCACAAAAGGCAGTGGTCAGGCTGCTCCTGGATGCAGGAGCAGACCCAGCCTGCAGGTATGAAAAATGGAGTCAAGTTGTATGCAGCAGTTGAATGCCCAGACTTGAACATTATTTCTGCAATATTCCTTTACAGGGATAACAGAAAGCAGACTCCGTATATTGTCGCCCCTGACAAAGACACAAGGAATGTCTTTCGTAAATACATGGGTGAGAATCCTGACAAATATGACTACAGCAAGGCGCAGGTATAGTCTAACTTGTGCATCTTAAGTGCAACTTATGCATCCCAGTACAATCAAGCACTTATATTTTTCCCTCTTTCGCAACTCAAGGTCCCCGGGCCACTAACAGCAGAGATTGAATCCAAACAGACGGAAAAGAAAAAGACACAAAAGGCATTGAGAAGACAGCGCGAAAAAGAGCAGAGGGAGGAAAAGAGAAAACAAGAGCTGGAGGCAGAGGAAAAGAAGAGGTTCGCATCTCTGACTGATCGTGAAAAGGTGAGATTACTCTCTGATATTCAAGTTATTTTTTCAAACACTGAATATTTTAACAGCTTCCTTTTTGACTATAGAGAGCTCTGGCAGCAGAGAGGAGATTAGCGGAGCAAGTAGCTGCAACAGGAATCAGCCTCTCTAATCTCAAGTAAGTCCCCCAAGAGCCTTCCTCTCATTGAGCGTCGTCATAATGCGATAATGTAAATGGTTTGTTACTCAAATGTGTGGGGGTTCATGTTTGACAATAGGAGGTGCTGGCTGTGTGGAGAGTCTCTGCTTGGGAAGATCCCATTTCAGTACCTGGAGTATTCATTCTGCACCCCTCGCTGTGTCCAAGCACATCGAAAAGCCACTACTCTTCCAGACAAGACCTAATGCACATGTGGAAAATGTCACTTGAAAGGAAGCTACCTCATAAGAACTAAAAGTCAATTTATGCGGCCTAGATGGGTAGATGGAAGTCTAATATGGTTGTCTTTTGCCAATGTGCTAGTTTCATTTTCAACATACATTTTAAATATAATTTTAATATAGCAGATTATCTTAGACAACTGGATGCATATACAGTATTAAAACATTTTAATAATAATGTTTAATAAATGTATCATTTATTCACAGTATCTGCAGTTACGGAAAAGGTAAAAAAGCAAACGCAATAAAAAAATTAATACAACTTGTATAATTTGTATAATTTCTTTTTAGTGAATGTTCTACTGTTAAGACAAAATCATTTTTGGAGCACTGTTTGACTGAAGCTGCTGTGTCAAAAGGATTAAAGAATTGGCTACAAAGAAACTGAAATCTGAAGTGACTAAGAATAATGACACAGAAATGATGTAGATAGTTCCTCATGTACAGAGTGATTTAAACTGATATTGGGATGTAGTATTCCTACAATCGAATGTTGTAAAATATGCTAAAGCTCTGTGCGCTCTGTTAAGACTTGTCAGCAGTGGCATTGAGCTGAGGCCGGTCCATGAAGAGAACCCGAAGGTGTGGTGGGGCCCCTTCCAGTTCCAGCACCGTGATGTTGTTGGGCAGGGTCGTGCTGAGCAAGGGTCCTGGGATGTAAAGAGTCTGTTGAGGGCCCTTGGCTGGCCAGTATCGTCCCAGATTCATACCATTAATCCAAACTTGACCCTGGTATAAACAAGACAATGAAAACATCAAAAAGGCTATAATTATTTTAGCCCTGGCATGCAGGAATTAAGTGTATTGGCACCAAAATATACCTTTGTCCATTCATTGAGCTTGAGAAAGGTGTCCCAAGCGAGACCGTTGGGCTCTAAGGTCCCCATGTAGAAGACTGGCCCAACTAAAGGTTCTTTCTGAGGAGAGGGGGAGGACTTTTTACTGTTTGAATGAGGCCATCCACCAGCGATGGCTCCATCAATATCCAAAGGGTAGATCTTCCAGTCAGTCAGTACATCTTTACCCAGGATCAGATTGCTCAGGAGACCCTACAGAACACATACTGTTTACCAGCTAACACTTGTACTTTGTTTACATAAGTTTTACTCAAAGTAATTATGAAATAAGAAGGAATGGTCTTCATTTTTTCATCATCATTTTAAAGTTTTAGCCTTTGTGGTAACAGGAACTGTCCCTGGTACTACAGCTGCATTAGTCTCTACATTGTGTTTGGTGTCCTTGAGACCCAAGGACCCCTTTAAACGCACCAAAATATTTCAAATATATAAATAAATAGAGAATATGGGTTTGCCTATTGGATCCATGACAGAGGTCTAACAAGAGTTCGGGCAGGAATAACATTTAGTTTCACTTATTTGTTTAGCAAATGAAAGGAATATTTTGTTTGTGTATACCTCATATATCATATTTATTTTGTGATCTTTCTCAAATGTGCAAGCCTAGTTTGGGGTAAAGTGGAGGATTATAACATCAATACTTTTCTAGATGCTTTTAATAAGGTCAAAGGTTGATTTGGTAGTTATTATTTTTACACATACAGCATTGTGAAGCTGTGGGGAAGTAAAGATAATGTCAACAAAATATGCGTGGTAAAGAAGTGATTGTGTGAGATTGGCCTTATTTTTTGTTCTTGCCTTGCTGTCACTAATCTTGCTGCCAAAATTCACCCTGCCCATGTTCTCAACGAGGATGTCCACAATTTCCCCCTGCTGTCCAGTGACGTTCATCACCAGCATAGTGTCTCTCTCCAACAGGCCCTGGAAAACCTGTCCACATAGATGCATACTCTTGGTCACGAGTATGAAAATTTTAAAAAATAAATCACTGACTGAGAAAGAAGTTTCACAAGCTGACATATTATAAACAAGCATGCTTTGTCTTTACCTGTGCTGTTTTCCCTATACCTGACCTGAAAATATGATTAGCTTGACAACAAAAGTTCATTGTAAAGGCTTACCCCATTGACGGACACATATGCACGGTCATGAACCCCATTCAGTGGAGAGATAAGTGGCGTGGGCCCTGAGAGGTCCCTGGGCAGCGTGGTCCGATAAAGCATGTATCCATAGAACTGAACACAATAGACATGACAGGTTGCAGACACAACAGTCTAGAAGTTCTACATGTTTCAAGAGGTTTACTGTCACTACAGCACTAGTCCCCTCCCTCACTGCCCCCTGTTGTTGCCTTCAGACAGACACCATACCTGTTTCATCTCTTCAAACGTCAGAGGATACTGGGATTTCACTGGCCCAACGGGTGAGAGGGTGTTCAACAAACCGCTGATGTTGCCAACCTGGAAAAGCGCGTCCATTGTTAGGATCAATCACAGCAACCTCTGGCTCGTTGTCAGACACTTTTTGCGCTTTAAAACCGGAAATTATAATACCTTTTTCAGGGTCACAAAGCCATAGGCAAACTTGGGAGTTGCAGGTGGCATGGGGCCCGAGGGAATATTTCTAAACTGTAGAGAAACAGATGCCATAATCATATCTAAGACATCTGTATAATAAGGACATCAACATCGTGGGTGGCAGTCCAATCTGTGGTACCTGCTTAATGACATCTCTGATGGCAAACAGCTTCTCTGTGGGGTCTCCTGCCTCAGACAGCGGGGCATCGTAATCATAACTAGTCACTACGGAGCGGAACCTTGTGTCATGATCAGCACCTTCGGGGGGAGTTACAAAGACACAAACCTTTTATCGCCATCTAAATCGTGTGAACACCTGAGATGATCCAAAACTGATACACTGATTATAAAAAAAACAATGATTTTACCATTCCAGTAGCCAAAGTTAGTGCCTCCCTCAAACATGTACCTGGGAAGAGAGAGGGACAGACTGTATTACTTAGAGGGACAACTTGTGTTTGTTACACAGACAAGTGCTTTTGACCTCTTGGGAGCAGTCTGGTGATTGATGCATCCCAAAGAAAAGGCAACCATATTCCATATTTGTCTTATTGTCGGCAAATCCCACAAAAAGACCAAAACCAGCAAGAATTTGATCCTACAAACAAGTACTGTATATAGTCAAAGCTGATATGTCTTATTCCCCTGTTCCATAGACTTTTAAAAACACATCAATGAGCCATACTGTTGCATCCATTACAATGAATACACATACTAGTGTATTTGACATGCTACCTTAAATATTCACTAAAGCAGCAAATGTGTATTAGTCCCAAACAAATGCACTTTTGCACTTAAGGAATGAATGGTCTTGGGCCTAAGAGCCACAGACAGGCTAGGGAAGTCCAAAAGACAAACGCATTGTTGGGTTTTGGTCATTGCATGGGATTTGTTGATAAAAAATATAGATAGACAATGCCAGCCACATTTGTGATGATGTGATGAGTGTTTGGGGAGACATACATGTTGACGTTGGCCCCCATGGTTAGCATTTCTCCTAGCACTCTGCTGACCTTCTGAGCATCAACTACAGCATGCTGATCTTGCCAGTGGTCCAACCAGCCAGTGTAGAATTCTGAATTCACCTGTAAGATCATTTAAAACATGTTTCCACCACGCGCTTGGTTTGATGAGTCAATAATTACTGCATGTTAAGAATGAACATGTCACTAACCAGGGGCCCTCGAGGTTCAAACCTTCTTTGCCTTTTGAAGGCTTCTGTTATGTTGGTGTCTGTGTAAGGGGATAAATAGTGGATATGTCAGCTTTCCCTATGAATACATTTAGAAAGTAGGATGATGCTTTCTTGTTAATTACTTTCATATAGTACCAACCTGTGCCAAAGTCTATTGTGGCATATAATCCCTCCAGAGTCCCGCATGCCATTTCCTTGTCTGTGTTTCCGTCAGTGGTGAACAGGACAATGTTTTCACCCAGAAAGAAGCGCAACAAAGTCCGCAGGTGACGCATGTAGTTGTAGTCACAAGCGTAGTAACTTCCATATTCATTCTCTACCTGCAGTTAAAGAGGATGAATGAGTAAAACCAATATTAAAACACTACTAATAAACATCTTAATTCCTCATTTAATGCTCTACCTGGACAGTAATGATGTTGCCCCCGTGGATATACAACCATGGCTTAATTTTGGGGAGAAGAACGGCAAACCAGTTGCTGACTGCCTGGACATAATCTGGAGCAGGAGAAAACAAATAATATAAAAAACAAAACAAAAACAGACACATACAGTAGGCGCATGTTATACCTGTGTCTGCTGAGCGAAGTAGCATGTTTGGTTTCTGAAGTAGCCACGCAGGTAAGCCGCCCTGGGAAGAAATAACAACTTGTTCATCAACAAGCAATAGATATACTGAAAGTGGCACATTTGAGTACACATCATCACTGAAAGACAGCAAGCAGGAAGCAGTTGGAGATCATGCTTTTGATTTCTTGGTGACTAACAGCCAATCCAGGTTATCATATCATCAGCTGCAGTCTCAGTAAGTGGTATGGACAACGACTGAATTTAGTATTTAAAGTAAATGAACTACCTGTTAAATATAAATCCCACAAACATCATTGTAACATAGATGCCCGATCTACAGCATTCATTTTAAGTGCACATGCAAGAAGAGTAATGCATACATTTTACAACTGAGACATTTTCAATAAAGTACATTAAGAATATTTAGGTGATAAAAAGCATCAAGCATACAGTTCAAAAACAGCTTACTTTGATTGTAAATCTCCACTTATAAAAATTCGATGGGTAAACAGCTGGATGATGTTTCAGATACTGTATACTTTCTTGATAAATGTCAACCTTATAGTGTTTATCAGTTCATTTTCTTCTTCTTCTTTAAGTTCAAATTCTCACCATTTCCCATTCTGCACAGATGTACGGTCCCGGACGCAGGATGACCAGAAGACCTGTCTGATTAGCCAGATCCAAAAAATGCTCCAGATCTCGGTCGCCTGTGAAGTTGTGAACCCCCTCTACTGTTTCATGGAAGTTCCAGGGCACATATCTGTGTGGAGGAAGAGTAAATGTAGTCAACCCATTAAGGTCGAGAAAGAACATAATCACAACATATTTAGTCCTTAATAATGTGATATGTTGAACTCACACTTGGATAGCATTGAGTCCAGTCATGTACATCTTTACAAGCCGGTCCTTCCAGTAGTACCGTGGGATTCTGGAGTAGTGAATACTGCCTGAGATGTACTGAAAAGGCTTCCCATTTTTGCGGAAACAGTTGTTTTTGTAGTCTATAGAGAATGATCTCTCTCCGGAGACCTGCAAGAGATCGCAAGAGAACTGCTCTGAGAGACA